AGAGGCAATGCAGCCAACAACAACAAAAAATTTGCAAATGTGTAATATGTATAGGTAAAAAAAATACAATGATAGTGTCGGCCAAAAAAAAAAAAGGCAATCAGCTCAAAAGCATTACGAAGCAGGGACATCCGGTTGCTTCTCTACCGGAAAATGAAGCCAGCGAAGTTATTCGCCCGTAAGTACGCATCGCAACAAAAAAAAATTGCGGCGGTAGTGAATTCGATTTATATGATGTATGAAGCCAAATGACAGTGGAGAGAAAAATGCTAGGGAAGTTTCAGCTATCCTCTCTTGAAAATTTAGCGCGCGTGTTCCTCCCCTGCCTGGTATATTTGCTCGGAGTGACGGCTCCACCCTATATGCACGCGGCAAGCTGTTTGCTTTATTCTGACAGCGTAGGAAGTTGGATCATCTTTACGGCTTTGAGGAAAAATTCACCGCTCGACGCCTCTCACATTTCTCGACTTTGGTGAAACGAGCCCGATCAGTACCCTACATTTTTAAGTGTACGAGCTCTGGTTCGATGGCCAACGTGCGAATTAAGGTACCGGGAATGGGAATAGTGTTCAGTAGGTTATGGGGAATGACCATGGGCGTACCAACCGGGGGGGCAAGGGGGGCACTTGCCCCCCCAGTTCTCAGAGTGGGGGGGCAAGGCATGCGTTTTGCCCCCCCTGAAACGGCCGCCACTGGGCAGAACAGACACAGGCCGGCGGCGCCCAAGGAATACCAAGGGCACTGCCCCCCGACCCGCGCGGGCATATTTTTAACGCGCTGGGACTGGGAATTACTCTTCCCACCTTTTGGTCAGATGAAAGGCACCTTTGAGATAAGGACTAAATAAAGATAAGTTTTAAATACTCACTCGAAATAACACTGCTGTTTCTTTTAAATTTTAGAGTTGATGTTATCGGTTCCAGCGGACGAAGTAAGTTTTAGTTTATCAATCAATGTCATAATACCGACGGAGTTAACGTTAATAGGATGCATGCGCTCGTAAAGCTCTTCAGGGAGAGTGGGGACGGAGTCCAAGCACTCGTTAGTAAACACTGATGAAAAATATTCGTTAAACACAGAACTATCATGGTCGACGTTGCACATCCGACCATTCCTAACTCTCCCCATCTTCCTAAACGTCCGTGTGTGTCCGAACACCAGAAACCGGAATTTTAAAGGTTAAAAACGGCACGTTGCGAATATGAAACGCGCACTTTCATGCAAAGCTGACGTCAAGTGACTCAAATCGAAAAACATGCATATTTACAATATTGTTATCTCTTCTGGTGAAGGCTCAGCAACCGTTGCATCTGTTTTCGCGCACGAAACGGCGACTACCAGAGAAAGTAAGAACGCAGTGATTGCCTTTATTTTAACAATGTAAACACACTTGCAGGCGTGCGCTGATGAAGCCTCAAAATCAAAGCTCTCGTAGTGTGATTCGTGACTGTGCCGGCTACTACCCAACCTCGTTGTCACGCCACTTTCTGGAAGCATACACCAAAATTACAAGTAAACACACAAAAGCGACATCGATACAATTATCTTCTAGAATATCACCTTATTTAGTCATAACTCTTTCAATAGGCACTACAAGTTGTATTTATTTTAAGAAGAAGAAGCAAAATTTTTTTCGTGAGGAAAAACAAAATATCAATGTTAAGTCTGGTAACGTAATTTTGCCGAATCATTGCCAAATCTTTAGAAAAGTTGGACAAAAGTTGCGCCGAATTTTCGATTTGGGGGGGGGGGGAGAGGGTCTGGTTTGCCCCCCCACTCAAAAACAAGTTGGTACGCCACTGGGAATGACAGAAGTCGATAAGAGATTCGCGAAGGAATTACCTAGACAGTTTCTTTTCTTCCTTCCTGCGAAGACTACGGTCCCCGTGAGCCAATCAGCGCTTCGGGAGTAGACACGTGACTCTACTCTGTCTCGCTAGTTGTTCGTGGTGTTGTCGAAGCCACGGGCGGAAGAAAGCGAAAAGTCGCTTTTGTACGCATTTCGAATGACGGGCTAATCTTCAGGGGCAGAAAACCGACTTCTGGGACACACAGAAGGTGGTCCTGCGTGAGACGGGAGCTTTTTTTCTTACCCTATTGTTTAACTGCTTGGGTTACGCTCTCGTAAATGTACCTTTAATAATGATTGTCACGCGCTTCGCCTCTGTTGTTCTGATTGGCTGGAAATTAAGGGCCATAGTGTTCGCTCTTTGCCAAGTGACAATGGAACAGAAAAAAAAAAAGAGAAGAAGAATAAAAACGACCAGTCAAGGTACATTTTTTTTAACAGAGCAACGACGTTTAACGTTAACAAAGCGCGACGACAGAAACAAAGAGAAGAAAAGAAAGAAAAGAAATTAATTTCCAGGAGGATAGAACTACTGTCAGCTGAGGAAACAGGGCTCTAACATATCTTGTCATGACTGACCAACAAGATGTAAGCAACAAACCAAGCTGAGAAAACAGAAAGAAATCGTATTCACTATGTCCATTCAGGCCGTCACAACTACTATTGGCAAAAGCAGAAGCTCATTTCCAACGGCCTGAATTGACATGCACGGTTGCTGGGTACCTCTTTGTTTGCTCAGAGTTGACAATACTTTCCCCTTTCCTGTCAATTCACTCTCTTCCCCAATTTTCTCTCCTTTTTTTCTCTCCTTCAACATCTGGGCCGGATTCCAGTCGATGAGCTTTTCTTCGAAAAGTAACTGCTGTTTCTCGTTGAAAAGGATGCGCGTGTCGTCCGGTTTGTCCTGTGTGTTTATCCTTCCTTCGTAACTAGACTCTTCATTTTATAGTAGTTGCGATATGAAATCTACAAGTTTCACAACTTGTAATTTCTTACCAGTTTCCGACTTATTTCACGCCTATATAATTAAGAAAAAACATGCAGAAAAAAGGGAGAAATGAGATGCAGACAGAAGTTGGGCCAGAGAAAGTCAGTCAATGAATGGCCCCAGAAACAAGTGTTTGCCAAAAAAAAGGATCGGTAAGCCTATTTTTAAGCATAAAAAGGCGACTAAAAATTCAAAACGAATTCTCGTGTCATCGGTAAAGCCCCCAAAACATTGTGAAAAACTATCCGAAAATCTCACTAAGTTCGCGACATGAGAAAATATTCTTACTCCATTCTTTAAAAAACAAAAAAAAAAGGAATTTCGCAAATATATGTTGTTGTTTTTAACAAAATTATATTTCCCGTTTACGTGCAGTAAATACATTTTCAAGTCCTCCGAATTTTGCGCAACTAACAAAACACGTGCCCGAAAAAGGAAAAAAAAAAAGACTCAAAGATCAGACGAAAATTGCAACATGCGAAAATCGTTCCACGTTCTTTTTGAAAAACGAGCCAGACGAGACAGCTAAAATCGCTAAAATGTGCCTGAGATTTGCCTACGGTAACCCGTAAATACTTGTTTAGAAAGGGTCAGAAGTATTTTCGCACGTTTCCATTTCCGTCCAACTTTCAGCTCGATTTTTTTTTCTTTTTTAAGATGTTTTAAACGAGATTTTTCTTGGCCTTTTTTTATATTTAAAAAAAAGCAAGAAAAAAAAAAAAGAAACACCTTCCAGCAATTGCAGGTCTTTAAATTGTAGTCCTAATTTGGCATCGAACAGGATGTGAAGCAACAGGCTCTGGCACGACATTCTTTTCCAGAGCATTCCATTTCCGCATCGCAGAATATATATATATATAAAAAAAAGAGAGCGATATGGTATCGTATCGGGATAGTATCTGAAGATAACCGCGACTGCACTTGCGAACAATAAAGGCTGGAGCTATAGTGTTCGAAACGACCGAATCTAAAGACGAACAGAAATCGGAACACGCGCTACGTGTTTCACCCGATTTTCCAAAGAAAACGAACCCCTCCATGAAATTCGTCGCCCGGAAGTCGCAATGAATACTTGTGCCCTTATGTGCGATTTCAGCGTGGTAAATTATCATGTGTGGTATATAGTTGTCATTCCAAAACTGGCAGAGTAATTTTCAATATCCGTCCGATTTTCGTTCCGATTTTCCCTTTTAGGTTCGATTTTCGGTATCAATATACACTTTGTTGGTGTGTTTGCGTTTACGGCGTGGTAAATTCTTCGGTGTAGCTGGTTTTTATTCAAAAACTAGTGAAGCAAGTTCCAATTTCCGTTTTATTTTCGTGTTTTCTACACGTGTTTCGGTTTTTTCTTAGTCGCTTCCGTCAACCGTGTAGACTACGCCTGATAGCAGGATACCGTAACCCCCTTTTCTTTCCACCAGAGCACTTGAAACTCGACGAAGCCTCGTGAGATAGCAAGCCGTCCAAGGCAAGCAGAAATCTGCGCACGCACAGATTTGGGTGAAAAGGTCGCCAAAGAAGCTAAAGGCAAAGAGAATATCACAGATGTATGCCTCTGCACAAACTCCTACAATCAGCAATTTTTTGTTGTTTTTTGTTTTGACTGTTTCAAAATGAAAAGGAGCACTCACAGCCCGTTACCGCACTGTGTATTTAAATATTCGTCTCCCGAAGAGCCCGCAATGCTCACCTCACTGCCACTGCCCCCCCCCCCCTTTTCCCTTCAGGAAATGTATTAGAGAAGCCTAGCACAAGGTGCCGTCATCGAGCCACCGTTGTTGGGATCTTACGCTTTTTACTGTTAACTCTAAAAACGACAGAGTTTCTTCGTTGCAACATTAACGCTGCATAGAGGTTCTGCCAACGCCCCGGCCAGCAGACACCGTAATCCAGGTGATGATACCCGGGTTTATAAAAGAGCAGAACCTGACACGCGAGTTTACCACTGCAGCAGGCGATCAAAACACCGAAACGTATCAATACAGTGTACGCGTTAAAAAACGCTTCTTCAGAATAGTTATCACAGGAGAAAAATAAACAAAGCAGAATAACAAGCACACGGCAAAGCACACAGAGCACCGTACATGCAACGCGCGTTGCCATGCGTTGAAATATGCGAATACAGAAAGAAAAACGCCACACGGCTCCGGTCTGACTCCTTACCTGACAGGCCTGAGGTGGCCGACCCCCAGCTGCTGCGCTGCTGAGAGCCCGTAGCGGACGGTGGCGGCGTTGAGGGCCTTATCTGCCCCCGAGCGATCGTCGTCGCCGCTTCCTTCCCGTCAGAAACCGCGGACGACGTTTTTTATCCAACAACGAACGCGTTCTCGTTGAAAGCACTACGGCGACACAAAACCGAACACCGCTCCTCTTGCACCCGAGAATCCGCCAAACTCGGCGAACGCGAATATAACAAAATATAGAGAACGACAGATGAAACGAGAGTCCGTAGGTGAGGGTGAGGACAGATAGAGAGGGGGTGGAGGAAAGTGTAGGGGAGGAGATAAAAGTCTGGAGCCCGGCCAACGCAACAGCTGGCTCGCTGTCGCTCCACGCGCTCTCGAGAACGTATACACGGCCGGCCGTTCGGGCTGGAAAAAAAGCCTCCCACAGCACGGAAAGCTCGTCTATTCCGCATCGAGCACAGTTGATGAGTAGCTATCGTGTTCAGGAAAACGCCACCCCGCTTCAACGAAAAGCATCTCGCACGACGTCTATAGATATACGTGCAGTGCAGCTTGCACAGATTTGATAGTGACGAGAGGGACATTTAAAGGGCCGCCCACACTAGCGAGAAAACGCGCGTGGCACGCCGATCGCGGGAAGTAACAAAAAGTCGCCGTAGCACAGTCAGCGCCACGAGCGCGTGCAGACACACGCCCTTTATCTTCCCGCTCAACCGATTATGCGGAACGCGTTTTCAACGCGATCGGCGCGCCGCGCGCGTTTTCTCGCTAGTGTGTCACACTGCTCATACATCATACAAAAGACAGTAAGCAAACACGCACGAGTCACCGCAATATCCGCGGTTCGAATACCGCCTGCCAAGTTGCTCCTTGAACTCATCGCCATGCGGCACTCGAAGCACGAATCTCTTGGTGACCTGCGTTCGTATCTGTTTGCAAACTGTCTTTTCTAAAGTGCCGATTGTTGGGCAAGTTGGTATGGTGCGTTAGAAAACATGATCGCGCTTCTGTCTTCAAGCGCAATCATGTTTCCTAATGTCTTTTGTATGATGAAAAAGCAGTGTATGTGTGAACCCATGGCTTTAGGTTCGTGGCTGTAGAGTGAAGAACGAACCTTCACTGCGCTGTTGCTCTGCTGTGCGGTATATCAGGCACTGCGCATCCGTCCACAGCTCAGTGACTCACCATTTTTCGCCCGGCTGATAAGCGATGCAAAGGTCTGTATAGACCTTTCCAGCGCTTATCACCCGGGCGAAAAATGCTGAGTCACTGAGCTGTGGACGCATGCGCAGTGTCTGATATGCAGCACAGCAGAGTAACAGCGCATGCTCAGAAGGCGTTCCACAGCCCAGCGGACAAAGACGGCAGCCCGCTGAAGGCGATCTTTGCAAAGGTCTATACTGTTAAACATTTCACGCCAGAAGAGATGGGGAAAGGGGCTCTATCTCTCAAACTCGAATTACAACATGGTGTACGCTCGGAAGAGGTTCAGCTTTTATTTGAATTGCAGCTTTTATATGAACGATGAAAGCGCCCAAAGACAACGGACCAAAAAATAGAGAAAGACGAGCAGACCGAGCGCTGATTTGCAACAAGCGGCGTAGCCAAGGGAGGGGGGGTGGGGAGGGGGGTCTTACATGGTTTTCAGCATCCCCCCCCCCCCCTTCTCCCCAAGCCGACCCTAACACCAACTCATGTTTACAAACAAACCGGAGCGCCCGGAGCGGCCCTAGCGGACGCCACCGGCACCGCGCATGCGCGATGGGGGTGTGGGCAAGAAGCTCGCCGTCGCCCATAAACAAACCATTGAAATGCGATGTTGTCGGCGTCGGTGTGAGTCCCTGCGCTTTTTTTGGCGTTGGAATTGTTGATTCTACGTCCTCCTAACGATGTCTGACTATTTGAGCGGCGTCAGCGAAATTAACGAGGCTCGTTACACCGCAAAAGTTCGCGTGAACAATCTGACATGCGGCGATTCATTCCGCGTGGACGCCGCAGAATGTACGCTAAAGCCTGAGTCACATGATGAGATTTCGCTCGCCATTTTCAGTAGTGACGTCGCTCGGACTGCAAAAGTGTGAACCGTAGCTGAGATGGTCGACGCCGACTGAAAATCGCAAGCAGAATCTAACCAAGTGAATCGGGCATAACAAGTCGGTGATGGCCACTGGTAACAATGATCAACAACTCCTTGTATCTACTGTTTACGTCGAGCCTGCTTACTAACCTTCAAACTTAAGTCTTTTGAGGCCCGCACTTACTTCTTATCGCAAGTACCGGGCCCACGTTTGGTCTACGGGGCGGTGCCCTCTAAAAGAGCAGACGACAGTTCGAACAATCAGGCGACAGTTTGAACTTGAAGACGCACTGAACGTAGTCCGCAGGTGGTCCGTACAACTTTACGGTTTTCCAGCGTTCATTTTGGAACAAAACAAATAAATCTGATGGCCAGAAGTATCTGTGAATTCAACCCAAAATGCTTCCCGCCCAAGCAATCGTGGTCCGACGGCGTCTGGTTTTCCCTTTTCACGGCACATATCCACGTTTTCGGACGACCCGAGCGCATGAAAACTGACCTTCAAACCTTTCTAGACCATTTTAGTGCAGCCCCAGTCGCAGCATTTTGACAAGAAGGCAGGTTTTTGTCTGGTTCCTTTCAAACCAATGCAGGAATACACGTCTCACATGGGCACTTCCGCCCACAGCCCCGGACCGGAAGTGCGTCCGACGCGCCACCACCGCGCCGTGACGTAACAGAGATGAGTTCATGCATTTTGAATCCCTTTAACACCCTCTCCCCCCTCTCGCACCCGAAGTCATGAACATCATAGCTGTCGTCTACCGTGTGCAAACCTCCCAGAAAGTAAGCGACGAGATCGAGACAACCGTTTGTTCCACGCTCTTTTAATATAGCGTCTGCCACCCGAACCCTTCTCTCTCACTTGACTCACTTCGCTCTCTTCTTCCAGACACTCGACACGACAACAACCCCCCCCCCCCCCCCCTCAAAAAAAAAAAAAAAAAAATTTTTTAGACGCCATTGCTTTCAACTGAAAGCTGCAATGAAAACAACAGAAAATCCGCGAACAAGCATGCGCTTCAAACGACTCGACCATGGGAGTTTTGACACAAGTGCTCTCCTGACATGTAAAACGCCCTGGAATTTCCCTTGCCCTCTGATTCCTACGTTATGTGAAAATTGCTCGCTCCATCTTCAAACTTCAGCGCGCGTCCGCATCTATCACAGTGCACAGCTAAATAACCGAAATTGACAATCTTACGGCCGATACGTGTTCTCTTATTAAAAAGTTTTAGCAGATCGTTTTTTTTTGTTTTTTTTTTGCTTTGATAACAATGCTTTTTCTCCCTTCCGGCGGCCTTGTGTGTGCATTGTATCGTTATCGGGTGTCGTTATCGGAGTGAAAAAACGATCTGCTAAAACTCTCTATTAACCTACCATTAATGCACCGACCTGGCTGATGTTAGTGTCGGGAGTGGCCGTAAATCGAGAACGAAATCAACGTTTTAATAAAGCTCAAGAAAAAAAAAACTTAGTGTAGGTGTGAATGTTGCTTCTTTCATTGTTAATGTAACGTCTCCTTCATTGTTGACGTCATGTCCCGTTGTTAGACCAACTCAACTCCCTGACGTCACGCCACAGCGGTGGCGCTGCTGTCGGTGTTGCGCATGTGCAGACGCTTCACTCCTCCCGAATTTGGTTTCTGCGCACGCGCAGTTCCCACACCTGGTGTCGGCACAGTGGGCTTGTTTGTAAACAATGTGTCGCTGTATAGGAATACCCCGCTATAGTACAGATAACATTTTCGACGGTGAACCATAGGTAACCATAGGTAACCATAACCATACACGCCTTTTTGTCTCGTCATTATCGCCGATTTTGGAGAAAACGGAGGCGTATATTCGCGGCGAGAACAACGCTAGGGGGCGCCATTGAGCAGCGCGCGAATGCCACTTGGTACCCGGAATGTGAGGATGGCGTGTTTGTTTACATAGAGGGCGCCATAGCGGTACTGGCGGTAAGGACCTTAACTGGCGGTACGGCGTGAACGCTTGCTTGCTTTTGGACACGCAGCGGTGGTTCGTTAATGTTCTGTCGCCAGTGATACAACATACGCGATTGAAAAAGGTGTAAGTTTCGATTCATATCTAAGAAAAAAAAAATCACAAGGTCTCCTATGCTATTCTATAGAGTTATTACAATAAACGCTAGAGGCTCAGCTGACGCTAGTGTATATGGGACTTCCGGTTGCAAATTGAAGCAGACAGCATGCAGTCTACTTTGCCAGTCTTCCTGTGTATTCCTATGAAAAAACGCGCGTGAATTTTGTCTCGTCGCCGGAATATAACATGAGCAACTTTTGTTATTTTGGTTGTACCAGGTAGTATGTGCCTTTATTAATATTGTGAAAGTGTAATTGCTTTAGTTACAGCGTTTTTCCTTTACCACTGAACGATGCTAAACTTCGCTATATTTCAGGCCCAAACCTCTGTTCCATGGCAGGTATGCAGAAACGAGCGACGATTCTAAGCAAAATAACGATCGAAAGTAATGTAGAGTGTGTTCAAAGTTTGCCAGCATTCCGTTGGTGCTTATATATTGCTGATATACCTGTCCTCTCACTATATGAAAATGACCCCGTTGTGCATCTTCACGAGTGGTTAAAAAAACGTTTGAAACGTAAAGAATAAAGGACGTGCGCTACGAAAGGTGTGTTTTCTTATTATTTCCTATGTTGGGCAGTTTTTATCGCGCACCTGTCCTCTGGCTTCCCCCTATTTGCAAAGATTTGGAGCGTGCGGGTGATGATTTGAACACAGAACAAGAATCTTCGCACATATTCATGAGCAGAAACAATAGAGGCGTACTTATTTATTGGAAATCGGACTATATTACGTGACTTTCAATTTATTTTGATCTTCTGCAAGCACAAGGAGTTACTTATCCAGTGTTACTGCATAGTTCTTGCTGTCTCTCTTGGTTTTCCACATGTCCTTCGTTCGTTTGGCAGGTATATCCCCCATGCTAGAAAGCGTCGACGCCGTGTTCGCGCTAACAGTGTCCGACAGTGCACATAAATACATCTACGAAGCGGTTTTAACACCGTTTTTAATGCCGCGCATTTCAAATAAAAATGCTGTAACTGACCAATTATTTTATCTGCGTGACTGAGAAATGTTTCAATGTGCCCAGTACGTACAAATTATTCGTGATATTTGCTCTTGTAATCGAGCGCAGAGAGAAAGTGCACTCGCTTTTTCCCATAAAAATGCATTACCGGAAGTCAATTTCTGACTGCATGCTGTCTGCTTCAAAATGCAACAGCACACTAGCGCCAGCTGAGCCTCTAGCGTTTATTGTAATAACTCTATGTGCTATTCCTAAGACTACTTGAAAGCGAAAGCCCCAGCGC